CCTTGTGGTTAACAGCCCAATGCTCAACCACCATGCCACCCTGCGTTCTAGGAAAACACCCTATCGTGCCTGTGCTATGCTGGTGGGTGACCTCTGCACTAGAACAGGGCTGCACAGACCATAAGGAGGGCTGGAATCACAGATGGGGGTGCCCTGTTAAAAATCCCGGTAGGGCAGTGTGTTAAGTGGTCTGCTGAGAGGTCGGTAGTTCAAAACCACCAGCCCCTCAAAGGGTGAAAGATGAGGCCGCCTTGCTCCCGTGAAGGGGGCACCCTTGAAGTCCTCTAGGATTGGGCGGGCCCTAGCAGAGAGGGGTCTCTGGTTTTGAGTGGGAGAGTGCTCCGCGTGAGAAAGATCTGGTGGCCTGCCCCCAGGGGGGAGGACAAACCAGACCTGGAAATCCGGTGGGGCCGCCCTGCTGTTTAAAAACGTGGCCCCTGTCCCACCGCACCATGGGTTGATGGAGACGCTTTGGGTCGCCCAGATCATGGCGTGCCCTGCGACGTTCTTCATGCCACGTGGTGTGAACGCCGCCTGCCTCCAGGCGATGCCCATTTGTAGCGGCCCCAGAGGACGGAATAGAACTGGCCGCGGGGTTTGTTTCTAAGACTCCGTGGTGATGCAGCAGTCGGCCTCCACCGCCCGCCTTGTGGTTAGCAGCCCAGCCCTTACCGCCCCCCTCCCTGCCCTGGATCATCTCACCCCCCTCTCCCCACAGCTATCACCCTGCCCCTGTGCAGCCCCTACATGAAGTACGCCAGCATGATCAACCAGGCCACGCCCTACAGCTACCCAGGTGAGTGGCGGTGGGCAGGGTCCTCGGAGCCAGCCCCCCTGGCTGGGGGAGTGGGAGTAGAAGGGGCAGCGGCCCGTGGGGAAGGTCCCCTCCGCCCTCCAGCATCACTGAATGGACCCCACAGTGACGGGCATGGTTTGGGGCTTTCTTTGTCTTCTTGGGTGGGGATCTGCCTTTGAAAGTGTTTTAGCAGCGCTCGCAGACCTGGAAGTCACCCTGCCCGAGTTCCTGCCGTGGGGCAGGCTTTCCCTTCCTCCCTGGTGGTGCAGAGGTTACGTGCTCTGCTGCCACCTGGACGGCCAGCATTTCCAAACCCAGGTCCGTGGCGACGCGTGAGAAAGGCCCGGTGATCTGTTCCCCCAAAGACAAAAACCGAAGCCAAACTCACGGCCACTGGGCGTCCCGGCTCATAGCAGCCCTCTGGGCCAGCCTGGGACTGCCCCCTGTGTTTCTGGGACTGGGTGGCTTCTCAGGAGTGGACTGCGTCTTCCTCCCCGGTGCAGCTGCTGCTGCCCCTCGCTGAGCTCACCGCACCCAAACACTCAGCCATCTTCAAGTTGATTCCAGCTTCTAGCGACCCGGCAGGGTTTCCATGGCTACAGATCACCCCTGCAACAGACAGCCTGGTCTTTCCCAAGCAGCTGCTGGGTGTGAACCGCTGGCCTCCCAGTGGGTCCAGAGTTTGCCTGACAGCACCACCAGGTGCAGCCTGGGCTGTCCCGTGGGGCACAGACAGGGGCGCTCAGGGACACCCATCTCTGAGACCCTCACGGTTGCTGTCTGTGACTGGCTTCCTGGTCTCCGTCCCTGGTTTTCCGCATCTCTGTCCCCTTCCTCACCCCTGGGTCCTGTCTACCTCTCAGTCCGATGACCACCCACCCCGCCCCGCAGAACTGCGCTGGCCTCACCGCCCCCTCCCGCCCCACAGTGCCCCTCCGGGACGACGGGAACATGCCGGACGTGCCGAGCCACCCTCAGGACCCGCAGGGCCCCAGCCTGGAGTGGCTGAAGAAACTGTGAATGCCCGCCCGTGCGGTGGCCCAATAAAGACCTGGAAACCAGCCCCTGCTCCCGCGTGTGCCGTCCATCGGCCGTACGACGGCTGCGAAATTGGGGGGGGGG